CACCGATCAGGGAGGACTCGACACAGAAAACCAGAGTTATGTTGTCCTAGGACCCTGGCTCGGAGAGTGCTTTGCCTGGAATCTCAAGGAACACGGCCTCTTTAGTGAGATATATAGCTTCATAATTAGCCCGCTGCCTTTTTTTCACGAGTGCTGGCATCAGCGTTCTACGGTGTGTTTCTCTGATTAACAGCTGCTTTGCAACTATTTCCTTGTGCCACCGATGACCATATTTGTCAAGGAACTCCTGACAGAGTACTGATTTCTTACTAAAACGAAGCTTTTCTGTTTGAAGAGGTTCTCTCATTCTCGGCAGTGCCCAGCTTTTAAAAAGTCAGTCCTTGTTAAAACTCGCGTTGCCTTGGTTTACTGCTTGTTAACAGGGTTCTGGGCACCTCTCTGCTTTCGAGTGCGAGCGGAGGAGCCTTTCACAGGCAATTTAATCTCCCCGAGCGGCGCAGGTGCAGCGGGGCTGCATTGGAATGGGGTTTCGGCCTTTTCTTTTGCCCTCTAGTTGTGATCTCTCTGGGTCAAAAGGGAGATCTGGCTCTGGTTGTTAGTGTCATTAATTTTTGAATATTTTTAATATTTAAAAGTGGCTAATGAATGCTCACATTTTAGGAGATAGATGTGCATGTAGCACGCAGGAGTGCTGGAATTGGTGACATTCCAAGTAAGTGTCACTGGAGACAATGCATCAGGTTTACATGTCAGGTGCAAAGTGCTACGGCTCCCTCAAACCCCAGGCTCGTTATTAGGCAAGCCCCGTCCCCCTTGTGCGGGAAATAAAGTGTGCATCCTGGAGATGACAGCGTGCAGGGCTTTGCAAGAGAGCACGGAGCACATAGGAAGCAGCTCTTCCGCGAGGACTGTCAGGAACCTCAGTTCTTCTCACTGGGGATTACTTATCCCACACAATGCATTTAACAGCACATAGTTCATCGTAGATAGCCCCTGAGTATACTGTATTCCATTGATTTATACAGTTACAAATCCTGGTCTCTCAAACACAAATCTCTCTCAGTTGGCCAATCATCTTGGAGGCAAAGGTGTTTTCAACCTGAAGTCCCCTCTCTTCCCCCCACCCCACCCCCGCCGGGTCGCTGACAGTCACTTCAGCGGAGCCATTGCAAAGAATTGCAAGAATTGACTCCTCTTTGTATTCAGTTTCACCTCTAGCTTTAAGTGATAAACAGTAAAAATTATCAAATTTCTGTAAAATTGCAGAGTTGATGGTAGCCAGGTTGTCTCATTTTGCTTTCTGGGATAGGGACGCAGAGGGTAGGGTCACAGGAATTGGGTGGCAAGAAACTTTACTTCTGTTTTCCTTGGAGTCCGTTGTCCTTGGTGTTGTGAAGCCAGCTGCTGGTGACTGGCGGTGTGCTCATTGAGAACTGTCCGGCGCGAGAAGCGGAGAAAGGGAAGCCAGCGCCATACTACCGTGTTCTCAACAGCGAGAGGCTCCCACAGTACATCAAAGCGCCAGGATTTTCCCTGGCTTGCTGCGCTCCCACAACATGCGCAATAATGTTCTGTCTCCGTTTTACATCTTTGACATTGAGGCGGAAGATTTGGCCTGAATTTGTGTGATTTCGTTGGGCACAAATATAACCCATGAATGGTCACATTCATCTCCTAATTAGAAAATCAAACGATAACACAGGACAGGCTGTAGGCACCCCATCACTTCATCCAACAAAAGCGTGTTGTATGAGCCGGACCTCAGCGGAGGCCGGAGTCTGCTGAATCGCTCCGTGAAGTTAATGAAAGGTGTCCAACAACAGGGGAAGGCGGGATGCAGGACAACTGCACCGTCGGTGTGTTTACTGTGTTACAGTTTTTGCATTGAGGGTAAAGATTTTGGGGAAATCTATGTATGTGTGTAGGGCTTACAGAACTCTAGGTTGGACAGGCCCTCGTCCCCTTATTGCGGTTCCAGTTCCTTGGGCGGAGGGAGGAAGGAGAGCAGGAAGTAGCTGGAGAAATTAGTGGCAGGAGGAGAGAGGTTTTCATATGCTCACACTTACATGTAGCTGCTTAGCTGGGTCTCTTTCTTATTCAACACATTACGTTGAGGCTGTTAGTTTGGATGCTTTATATTTTTGCATCTGGTGTGGTGATATCGATGCTGTTAAATATGTGATTTGCCTGTCGCCTGCATTTTCAGACAAAGATCAAGAGGAACATAAACAAGCCCCAAATATACTTTATGTAGGTGTTTGGCAGTATTATTTTATATGGCTTGAAATTAGTGAATGGAAACTTTAAAAGAAATTGTTCATATTTTTGCAAGTTTGAAGTGTGCCGGGGACTTTGTCAAATTCCCGTTAAAATAAATACATCAATTTCATCTCCCTTCCAAATTCATTTATCTTGCTTTTTTAAAAGGTGTTTTCTACTTTACCTGATGTTTAAATTGGATTCGCTCGTTTATGCTGTTCTTTGCTATATCCCCTACGTTTTTCTTAAATGAATTACTAATGACAGCGCACTCCATCATCCCCTCTCTACAGCCACTTTAAGGAAAGCATGGTGATCTAAACCTTTTAACCTATTAAAGATGATTTTTCCCAATTGAATCAGACCCACCACAGGTGTAATAACTAATCATTTAAACTACACCTGCTATTATGTATTTTTAAGCCATTATGCGTGTTGGATAGATGATAATTCATGTTTATTGCATTGTCCGATGGATCCGTTTTGCCTACACTAGGCTGATTAATGTATTTAAAGAAATAAGAGATGCAATTTTTAAAAAAAATTGATGGAATGCGCCAAGCACTGCATTGAGTGCACCATTAAACCCATCAGAACTTTGCTCTCTGACCAGAAATGCATATACCAAGGACTATATTAAAAAAGCAAGGTGAAACCTGTGCGTTTTAGTGGTGGGATTCTGTTTTCTTTCTCTGTCATGGAAAATTTTGGAAAGGACGAGGGGAAGGCGTATGCTTATGGGTGGATGAGTGGAGCCTGCCCTTAGCATCCCTGCCTAGGATGTGCCGGCCCATTTCCTCCGGCACCTGGTGCTCAGGCCCCGGCGGGCGGAGGCCGCCCCATGGTGCGAGCGCTCTCATTGTCTCCTGTGTCGAGGTGTATCTTTTTCTCCAGGGGAAGAACAGTCTTCCCTGAGCCATCTGAGCTGTGCACATTGGCATTGACCCCGTGGGGGCTGTGACTGTGTGACTCACTGTCCCTCCTCTCCCCAGGGCACGACCCCTCTCCCTTTCGTTTTCTCCCTCCCCCTCGGCCACTTCTCCTTCGCACCTCTCCCCTGTCCTCTTCTTTGCCTCGTCTTCCGCTGCCGCTGTGCCTCCTCCTCCTTCTCGTCTCCCTTTTCCCTCCTTCTCCCCTTTCCTTTGGCTTTTTTCCTCCTCTTTCCCCTCTCCCACGTCCTAATTAAAATATCCATTTGGGGGATGTTAATCCGACTTTTCTTGATTTTGGTGCAACCAGAGGTGAGCTGGTCAAGGGCTTGGGGAGGGGGTGAGTGTGCAGCTTTGGGGTCCTTGACTCTGGAGCATCCGTGTTTTCTAGTCCAGAACTGGGTGGCGATCACTGCAGGCCGTGATGGTGGCGGACATGTCTGCAGAGCAAAACTGGCCCCGACCTTCAAAACTGGGATCCCTGAGTTCACCCTCTAGGCCAGCTTCCCACAGAAGGACTGCAGGGAAAACACACAAGGAACTGCCCTGGCTTTCTGTTTTTCTTTCTGATTTCTCCTTGTAGCTTTCGCTACCAGAGAAGTCTGTCTGGTCTCAAGGTTAAATTCATACAGAATATGAAGAGAATATTTTAAATTTGTATTTTACTTGTAGTCACAGTGCTTTCCGTGTGAATCTCTGTATACCTGCTACCCTTAGTTTGAAGGATCTTAGAGAACTTCCTTATATTTAGCCCCTTGGAAAATTTTTTTCTTTCAACAGTGTATGAGTGAACTGCAGTGCCTGTTGACTTTACTTGTAACATGAGACTATTACTCTTTTGATTTTGATGAGATGAATAATGGCAGTCATTTAAAACGGCCCCTCTCCTACCTGGGGCAGGTTCCTGGTGCACTGGTGTCTGGGGTGGAGAGCAGACAGGCGGCGCGAAACACGCTCAGCGTGTGCTGAGTGATGGGAAGGTGACACCTTCCACACTCCTCCTTCCTTCCTCCCCCGGGCTCATTCACAGATGCAAAGGTCTCCTGAACTGTCCTGCTGGGGCAGATAGATGATCTGTCAGTCTGTTGGCTTTTAGCCACGAGACCCCAAACTTTGTCCTTTGAAGGCTCTTCAGAGTTGAGTGTCACCGCGCGAGAGGGACCAGTGTGGATGGCTGCGTGTGTGGCCTTGCACGGATGTGGCCCCGTGGCGGATGCCCAGCGCTTGGCTGGGCTCTGCAGCGGTAGCACGGCCCCTTCCCTTCAGGTGCTTGCAGTGTGTGTGGGGAGGCAGCCCGAGTGCTAGCAGACAGTGTAATGGTGTCTTCCGTCCCACGGCACACCCTACAGGCATTGAGGAAGTCGAGAGGACCGGGAGACTCAGGGGTGCTTCGAGGACTTAGAGTAACAGGCTGTGAAAGGGCCGTGCTGGGGCGGGGATGTGTGTGTGAGATGTTGAAACAGGTAGAGGCGGGAAAGGGAGGCCTTCCAGAAAAAGGGCAGAGCGTGGGCACAAGTGTCTTGACGTGGACGAGAATGGCCAGGAGAGGGCTACCTGCCAAGGAGTGCGAAGAGACAGCCTGGGCAGGGAGGACAGGAAAAGACTGTTGCAGGTCTTAAACACAGGCTGAGGGGGTTAGATTTGATAGAATCAGACAGAGGAAACCAGCGAAGGTAGGGAACTGATGTAGTCTTTGGTGCAGGTAGATTTTAAATGTGAGAAACAGCTGGTTATAAATGTGACCACAATGGTGTGTTGTTTCAGTGGACGTGGGATAAACTTACAGGGTTTTTAATCTTGAAATTCATAGTGTTGAAGTTTGCTCTTCTTCTGTTTTATCATTCCCACCAGATTGCCACAGCAGTGAAGTTTCTACAGAATTCCCGCGTCCGCCAGAGCCCGCTCGTGACCAGGAGAGCATTCCTTAAGAAGAAAGGTACAGGCGCCCCGAGGCTGTGCACAGCCGCCGCCAGAAGGCGACTGGGGGCGGGGCAGATGGGGGCCCCAGCGCTGGTGAAAGGATGTCCTGTAACTGTCCCACTAGGGTGGGGGAAGGGGTGAGGGGTGCCCCCTGGTGGGAATGCAGGCTTTTTCCTGCCAGTGGTGCAGAGTGAGGATCTAATTTGGGTAAGCGACCTCCGGATGTAAGGCCCACGACCCAGCCCGGGACTCAGTCCGGGACAGCCGGGCGCAGGCAGCGCTCAGGAGCAGGTGAGGCTCAGCAGGCAGGACTTCTGCTCTCTGCTCCCTTCTGATAACGACTCAGCTGCAAGATGACTGGCTTTAGGTCAGCTGCTTTATAAAGTAAAGCATGTGGAGGAAAGAAACGAGGGAAAAGGGAAATGAGGTGACTAAACAAGGTCGGGTTAAGGTCAAGCTTGGGGTTAGCCTGATACATGGATTGAAGAGGTAAATTACGGGTTTTATGGTATATCTGTAGGCGCAGATTAAATGGATCTTGACAAATTTAGTATTGTCCAAAGCAGACAGACTCTATTCCGGCTCTCTTGAAATTTAGGATATTTTTCTATTTGTTAAAAACAAACGAAACAAAGAAATCTGACTTTTTATTTTTTATAGAAAGCTCATACACCAAGAGGGAATAAAGAGCTTTCTTTACCCCCAAAACAGAGCTCTCTTTCTTTAAGAGCTGGAACGCCAGCTTCAAAGTTCTGGGTTTTGAGCTTTAAGTCCTTTGTGACTGGACAGGCAGATGGCGGTGACCCTGCAGGACTGCGTTCCAGGCCGCGCTCGCAGGTCCAGGCGGAACGAGCCCCCGTGCTCCCTCTGCACGCAGCTGTCGGGGGGCAGCCCCCGCTGGTCCCTGGGCAGGAGCTGGGGGGTGCTGTGCGGGCACTGGTGGCGTCCTGCACGCCCCCGCCACCGGGAGATTATTATAATTTGGAGCGTGTGGGCTGGCCTCTCCACTCCACAACCATCATGCCATAAAAGAGTTTTTCCTTGAAATATGTGTACCTATGGGGAGTAATTAATCATAAAAGCTTGGGGATTTCAGCTCTCTCATCAAAGCATGGAGGCTGGGGAAAGCTGAGTCTAAAAGCTGTGTTGATTACCCCGGGTAACCTGAGACAAAATCTATGGTTGCCGAGAGATCCTTCGCCCCAGTATATTGTGCAATATTATAACTGCCTGATCTTCTCTTCCACTGACAATGACCAGTTATTCCTCATTTTCTCTCAAACGCAGCTGGGTTAGAATTTCATTTGCAGAAGGTATTTAGAGCAATTTAGAGACAAATGTCTCTGGTGTTTGCCCGGCACTTCCCCACCGCAGGCTTTGCTGAGCAGTTTTAGTATCAGGAGCTCCATCTAATCTGTTTAATTTTAATAAATCCCTGACTGGGAGAAAGAGAAAAGAGAGAGAGAAACTCTGGACCAAATAATGCTTCTTTTGAGTTAGTTGGCTAATAATTACTGTAGAGAGGAAACTGTTTGTGCAATTATTATCTGTTGCTCCTTTTTAAAAGGAAACACAACGGGTGGATTAATTTGTCTGAGAGTGAGTGAGCACCCGGTGCCACACCCTGTTTGAGGACTCCGTCCCTGCCCTCTCGGGGCTTCAGTTCGAGTGGGGAGGGCAGAAGAGGAAAGGAAAAGAGGAACCGCGTGCTGTGCGAAGGGCAGGTGCCCTGGCAGTGGGCGGAGGTGCCAGGAGGGCGCGGGCGTCACTTCCACCACGGTCGATGGGTGCCATCTCACTCCGAGGGCGGCATGCAAGCGCAGACTGGAAGGAGATGAGCGGGGGTTGACGGAGGGGCCTGACTCCTTCCTGACCCGCCGTGGGGTGGCGCTGTTGGGGTTCAGGCAGCCGGGATCTGGGGAGGCGCCCCGCCCTTCTTCCTCTGTGTTCAAACCCAGACTCGCGGGACTGAATCGCCCACCTCCCTTGTCTTCAAAAACACTCCTTCGGTCAGAAATTCTCGTTTCTGAGGTGGATCCCAATAGGGTCAGTTCTGGTGGGACCTTTTCCGGGCAGAGAACTCTAAGGTTTGATCGGCGTCTGGGAAGAAGAGCCCCTTCGTGGCTTGAAACTTCACTGTTAAATTTCTGCTTGTTCCCGGGGCCAGGCGGATGTGATCAGCGTAGCTCGGTGCCGTTGTGGGTGGGATGAGGGAGGAGAAGCTTTTGCAAAGGAGCAAGTAGGGACCCTGCTCCTAACAGAAGCTGGGAAGGAAGGCGCCTTGTCTTTGGGGCAGGGACCAGGGTTCTGGTCCCTGACCATGGGCGGCTCCCCAAAGGGCTCTTCATGGCGGTGGGTGGGGTGAGCTCTGAGCCACTGTAGTCTTGGCTTTTCCTAGCAAATGTCCCTTCGGGGATTGCAGTGGAGCGCTGCCTTGAATTATAATCTTGACTTTCTTTTTTTTTAATAAACATCTCTTTCCTGAAAAGGCAAATCCAATTTTGTTTTTCTTTTAATATTATTTAATATTTAATATAGAAATTGAGGTCCCTGTAGTGCATGTCAGTTCCCGTGGAAAATGAGGGTAACTTTAGGCGCATCAGCTGAGTTTTATTGTGAAACGGCAGCCCGGAGCAGGGGCTGCGGTCCGCCTCTGCCGCTGACAGGCCAGCCGTGCGCGCTCTGATTGGGGGCGGGGCGGGGGGGGTGGGGATGTTGCGCAGGCCGGGGGGTGGTCGTGGAGAGTGGCACAGCGATAGAAGAACATTGGTTTGCAAAGGTCTTTTGTGTTTGTGTTTTTTTACATTTTATTTTTGTTTTTCGGAGATCTCTTTTGGATGCTTTGAAGTCTGAATATGGAGTCATTAATGAGAAACATGAAGTTATTAGAATCGTTTATCATTTTCTTTGAAGTTTGTACTGCCATTTTGTGTAATTTACAACATTTCTTTTATCGGGATTTTTTTTGGAGAGAAGGAAAAAGCAGCTGTTCACCTTCAGAGCAGTAGAATAAACGTTTTCGTTTCCCCCCAACCCCACGATCCTGCAGGTGACATGTCAACGGCGGAGTCGGCCCCGCGTGAAGGGGAGTGGGCTGTGCATGGGGTGGAAGCCCACACAGCACTGGTCTCTACATAGAGACAGGCAGGCATCACACCCGGGCTTTACGCAGGCTGCCATCCAGGCAGTGAGAGTAGCTTACAGGCAGCAATCGAATCAGCCCAGAAAGTTAGAGGCTTGGTCATTGTTGTCAATAGACTTATGTTGACCTGACACCCTATCCAACCACAAAATGTAGGAGGCGGTCCGCTTCCAAACACATTTGGCAGGCTGGGTGCGAGGTGAGGGGAATCACGCCTGTTCCAGGGGGCTGGCGGGATGGGCGAGGTGGGAGGGACACAGAGCTGTCTGTTAGCTCGCCGGGATAGGTCCGTCGTAGGGCAGGCCTCCAGGAGAAAGACGGCATCACCTGCTCTCCAGGACGAGCCTGTGGGGGCCTGGGCCGGTCAGCTGCCGCTTCTGCTTCCTGTGCCCTCTGAGGTGTGGAAGCCAAGCGCTGTGTTCTCCCTCAGCTAGTAAATAGCCCCCGGGGGGCGGGGGGGGGGGTGGAAAACGAAACAAAGAAGACACACAGCTGCACTTTCTCATTCTAAAAGGTGAAACAAGATCTGATCTTCCTTCTGCTCCTGGAAGCGGAACCCCCAGTAGCAAAACTGCCTCTTTGCTGGAGGTGAACTTGAGGAAGAAACTGGAGGTCTCAACCGTGGGCGTGGGGGAGAGGTGAAGGGCTTCTCTCACTGGAGAATTTTAAGGGGGAGTAAATTCTTACACGGATTTCAATTTAACTCTCTTTTATTACTTTTCTTTTTTATCATTTATGTCCATTTCATGAGGTAGTTTGCATGTCCTTGAATGGAATCTCGTTACCATGAAAGCTTTTTTAGCATTGATTTCATAACAGTCTTAATTTAATAGCGCCGTCATTACTGAGAAGCTCTGGGAGTAGGGCCCCGGCTTTCCAGGTCACTGACCTTTTAATTACAAACCTTGTTCTGATGGCCAGGTTATCGACTGGACAGCTCCCAGCTTGTGCCCCCAGGATGAAAACGAAAATAACTTCGTTTCCTCCCCCATCTCCAGGAAAAAAAATTGTAACCTCATGTGTTTCTAAAATTAATTTTCTCCTTCAGCAATTAATTTTTTAATGTGTCTTAGAGAAGCCAGAAGTCTTGTTATAACACTGCTTTTTCTAGAGCTGGGGTCCAGCGGATAGCGCGGAGGGGCAGGAAGGGGATGGGGATCTTGCCAGCAGCACCCCACGCGCCATCGTGGCCCACTTCCTTGTCCTTGGAAACCCTGCGGCCGCGCTGGAAGGAATCGCGCTGGCCCTGCGAGGGGTGGCAGGGCCTTCAGACTCTGTCAATGAGATGTGGAGCGCGGCATCAAGACTTTCCAGTTCCTTCCCATGCTGCCGGAGTAGCGGAGCCTTTTTATCATGGACGTTTTAAAAAGACTTCTCGTTCTGAGAAAAGACAAGGGTTGGATGATTTTTCTTGTTGTGTCTTACTTCTCTGCTTGTCTCCGATGGCAGGAGGAGACAGGTGCCCTGTACGGGGAGTTCCTCTCGGCCAGGGGCTTGGACCAGATAGGTGCTCTCTCGCTGCCCCGGGAAGAGGGAGAAAACGAGGAGAGGACCGTGGCCCACAAGTAGGATGACTGTTGGTTCTGGTTTGCCCAGGACTGTCCCTGTTTTAACACTGGAACTCTTATGTCCTGAGCAGCCCCTCAGGCCTGGGTAAACAGGTCACCCCACAGAACATGCTTACCCAGGAGCATGAGCTACCGGAGAGACAAAGTGGGTGTGTCTTCAGAAGCTGGAGGAAGAAGTCCCATAGCAGTCCGTCCCTGAGAGCCCAGCCTGCAGCTGAGTGGCATCTTCCTCACGCCCCGCCTGCTGCTGCTGCCCCGGCCCCGCCTGGCGGGGGTCCAGCGCAGAGAGGTTCCCGAGGCGGGAGG